GCAGCCGAGACCAGGAGGAGGGCTGGGGAACAGGCCGCTGGGGCGCCAGCCAAGACAAGGCTCCCCTAGCCGGGAGTGCTGTGGAGTCCGCTCTGCGTGGGGCGGGGAAAGAAAATGCTTCCGGCAGGTTTCAAAGTTTCATAGTTGTTTGGGGCTGGAAGGGACCTTACAGATCATCGGGTCCAGCCCCCCCCGCACTCAGGCAGGGACGGCTGCTGGTGTTTCAGTTTGTGCCTCAGCTTGGGCATTGCGCCGTCTACATTTAAAGAATTTGTGCTGGGACAATGATCCAAAATGGCCCCATAATACACTTAAGGCCCCTACAACATCAGTGGGTGCATCTACACGTGCCATTAAGGCAGTGGTGGGCAATTATTTTGGACAGAGGGCCGCTTACTGAGTTTTGGCAAGTCATTGAGGGCCACATGACAGGCAGTCCAGGGCAGATAAATATTAATTTTCTGAATTTTTTAGGGGCCCCATGGGCCGGATAGAATGGCCTAGCAGGCCACATCCAGCCCCCAGGCTGCATTTTGCATACCCTTGCATTAAGGCGACATGATAAACCCTGGCACAGTTCATGCTGGTATCGGCTGCTCTTGGGTGCAGCGTCTTCAAGTGCCCTGGGACCACTGCAGTTTGTGCCAGGGCCGAGCAAGCCCAGGTTGGCCGTGGCAGCAGGCCGTGGGGCTCAGCCCCAGGCTCTGGGTGGCAGCACTGATTCATAGATTCATAGAGTGTAGAGTCGGAAGGGACCACAATGGATCATCGTGTCTGACCCCCTGCCCCTGGCAGGAAAGAGGACCGAGGGCAGATGACCCCAGCCAGGTGACTCTCTAGCCTCCTCTTGAAGACCTCCAAGCTAGGTGATAGCACCACCTCTCTTAGAAGCCCATTCCAGATCCTGGCCAACCTTACTGTGAAAAATTTCTTCCTAATATCTAACCTAAATCCACTCTCAACTAGTTTACACCCATTATGCCTAGTCACTCCATGGGGCGCCCTAGTAAACAGCGTGTCACCTATTCCCTGTTGACCTCCCCTAATAAATTTATAGGTGGCCACAAGATCTCCCCTCAGCCATCTCTTGTGAAGGCTGAAGAGATTCAGCTCTCTCAACCTC